TTCCGATCATTTTCAGGTTATATGCTTGTACATAACCGGGCATCTCGATAACATATTCTCCCCTGAACACCGCGACGAGATCTTACGTTACATGTACAATCATCAGGTACCTATAATCATAAAACATATGCAAGCCATGATCGGTTTTGTTATTGATATGTATGGTCCGACATTCGTCATAGAACGAAGACGGCGGCTGGGGATTGCATGTAGAAGGCCACAGTGTTATGCTCTGTACAGTCATGAACTACATCTGCCTAAGGATCTTCGGAGTAGGGCTTGACGGCGATCGAGAAAACGCTTGTGCAAGGGCCCGGAAATGGATTCTTGACCATGGCGGTGCCACATACACGCCCTTGATCGGGAAAGCGTGGCTTTCGGTAGGAAGAGTTCATTTAATTTTCGAGTTTTATGTATCATATATATGCTCTGAATTGAAACTTAATCAGTTTGGTATTGGCTAATGTTTCCTCTTTGTAGATTCTTGGAGTGTATGATTGGTCTGGATGCATACCAATGCCGCCCGAGATATGGATGCTTCCTTCCTTCTTACCCATTTACGGAGGTCCGAGACCTTAATACGAGACATCGAAATCCGACAAAAGGGTTATAATGTTTCGATCTGTCCGATTTACTTCTTTGGTTACATACACCGTCTAATTCCTCTGGAAACAAATACATACAGGCACCCTTTGGATCTATTGCCGGGACGTTTTCTCGGGCTTGTCATACTTGTACGGCAAACGGTTCATAACACCGCAAACCCCTCTCGTTTTACAGCTTCGAGAAGAACTCTACACTCGGCCTTACGATCAAATCGATTGGAAGATCGCCCGACTCCGATGTGCAAAGGTATATACTCAATCTTAGAAAGGGTATTTAATCGATATCATGAACAAAAATATTGCAAACATGTGTGTATATATATATATGTTTATACATGGAGGAAACTTTGTTTTTGGTGCAGGAGGATCTCTACCAGCCTCAGGCCTTTGTACATAATTTATTCTGGAAGGGTGTTAGTATTTTTCTTGAGCCTTTCCTAAGCCGTTGGCCCTTCGACAAGTTGGTGAGACAAAGGGCTCTTCGGACAACGATGGAACTCATTCACTACAACGATGAAGCCAGCCGGTATATTACAGGCGGATGCGTGGAGAAGGTATATATATATATATATATATATATATATATATCGACGGTATTTTCTTTTATCTTATGAATAGTCTATATATTAATATATAATTACAAAGGGTTTATGTTTTTATTTTTTTGGAGAATTTACGTATTAATATGCTTTCTATTTTTGGATATATAGCCGTTCTGTATGCTCGCTTGTTGGGTAGAAGACAATGACAGTGATTGTTTCAAGAAGCATCTCGCTAGGGTTCCTGATTACGTATGGGTGGCCGAAGATGGTATGAAAATCCAGGTTGGTCACTTGAAACGATCATCACATTGGGAAAAAAAATCAAATTAGAGACAAAATTTTTTTTTTTTTTGATAATATTGGGGAACCTCTATCCTACGACCCTTCGGGCCGGACTTTCGTCACGGACATAAGAAAACTCCAAGCCCACGCATATGAACTTGCAACACATACGTGGGAGGTAAATCAGTCCAGAGACTGACAGACGAACAGGTCAGAGGAAGTGTCTCCGCCTCATGGGCGCCACCCATGCTCCCAACCAGCTGACCTGGGGTTCCCCTCGTCTGCAAAATATTAATTACCGTCAATATATATATATATATATATATATATATGAATATATATTGTGTTCTTTTTGTGCAGTCTTTTGGAAGTCAATTATGGGACACGAGCTTTTCACTTCAAGCCTTGTTAGCTACGGATCTTGCAGATGAAATCAGACCAACACTTGTCAAGGGATACAACTACTTGAAGAAATCTCAGGCATATATTATGACATCTATCTATACATATACATGATATGGACCCACCCACCATGTTTTATTTTCCCCTTCATCGACACAGGTCGCAGAGAATCCTCCCGGTAACTATAGGAAAATGTATAGATACAGCACAAAAGGAGCGTGGACATTTACAGACCAAGATCAAGGATGGGGGGTTTCCGACTGTACTGCAGAAAGTTTAGAGGTTAACATTTTAAATAATCTTTTTCTTTTTTTAAAAAAAAAAATCTTGGATATGCAATTCAATTATAAGCAAATAAAACGTATTTTCTTTTAACACCATGCTGATTAGTATCTATATATATATATATATATATATATATGTGTGTTATAGTGTTGCCTTGTCTTCTCGACCATGCCAGCCGAATTCATTGGCGAGAAAATGAAACCGGAGAGGCTATATGACGCCGTTAATTTCCTTCTCTCCCTGCAGGTGAAATAAACTTGGATGATGATTACTATCGTTGATCATATATATATATATATACATATGTATACATATATATCATATAGGTAGATAGATTTCGTAAGCATGACATTTTCTTTGTGAAAATGCTAACCCATTAGTTTCATCACGTGTTGTGAAATGAAACAGAGCACGAATGGAGGTGTGACGGCGTGGGAGCCAGCCCCCGGGAAGAAATGGTTGGAGGTATATATATATATATATATATATATATATTCACTATTCTCTTTTTTTTTTCACAATTCCTTAATTAAAGCTAATTAATTGGTCTTAATATTACCTCATGGTTATCGAATACTCCATCCGTTCCAAAATAATTGTTGTTTCAGATTATTTCACATTTTTTAAGAAAAGATAGAAAAAATCACATATACCTTTATTTAATTTAATGATAAAAACAATGTTATCATTAATAATTTATTATAATTTAATAGGGATAAAATTGAAAACTATTATAAAAAATGTATTGAAAATGTAGAATAACAAATATTTTAAAACATAGAAAATAACCTAAAACTACAAATATTTTCAAACGGAGGGAGTAGCTTCTACAATGATCATCTCTTCTTTAATGCATTAGAAAAAAAGAAAAAATAAATATCTAAAATTTGTAATAATTTAAAGTTATAAAAAAAATTTCAAGTAAAGAAAAAGAAGAGACGCTTTTAGAGAGAAATATTTATATTTATAAATGTTTAGAAATACTTGCTAAGAAAACCCCACACACATCTGCATTCATAATAAGAATACAAATATATTTTCACTTAACATTATTTTCAATCAATCATTTGAAAGTCAAATGGATTATGTAAGCAATGGCATCGTTATAGTATAAGCTTTTACATACCCATTACATGAGAAATGGCATAAACGATTTTTTTTTTTTATAACCAGTGTTCTGGACCGAATCTCAGACTAATCCCGGAACCGTAAGCAAGTCATGTGATTTGAATATATCGATCATAATAACGCTCAATATATAGTTTGTTTTGTTGTGTTTATTATATATCCAGTTGCTTGGACCGGTGGAGTTTTTAGGATACGGGGTCGTGGAACACGAGTATGTCACATTCGCTAATTACCGTGGTTAATCTTACTTTCTCTTTAAGAGAGAATGCAAAATTAGACGCATTAAACATATGTTAAGATTCTGGAACCTCAGATATGTGGAATGCACCGCCTCAGTGATAGTGGCACTCGTCTCATTCAAGAAGCTGTATCCATGGCACCGGAAGAAAGAGATCGAAAGTTGCATCACGAACGCCGTCGATTATACCGAGAAACAGCAGCTGCCGGACGGTTCATGGTATGCTGTAATGATATTTCAGATTACATGTTACTACTTAAAAACAAAAAGCACAAAGAAACATAAGTAGAGTAGTGACTCATGGTACAAGATGCAGGTATGGCAGCTGGGGCGTATGCTTCTTCTATGCTACATGGTTTGCATTGAGAGGTCTAGCCGCCGCCGGAAAGACTTACAAAGACTCTCCGACTATCCGTAAAGCGGTTCGGTTCATAATCGGGACCCAAAACGTCGACGGTGGCTGGGGCGAAAGCTATCTATCTTGCCCTAACAAGGTATCTTTCATATATAAACATATAACGATATTACCTTAACCAAAATTCTAGGGTTTGTTCTCTTGGTTTGTTCTGTCAGAAGTACACTCCTTTGGAAGGAAACAGATCCACAGTTGTCCATACGGCCGAAGCAATGATGGGTTTAATCTTGGCTGGTCAGGTTAGTCACCAATCTTAAAACAAACATACGTAAATTAACTAGGGTTAGGGTTAGGGTTAGGGTTAGGGTTAGGGTTCTGATCGATGATGCTTTTGTCTTAAACTTGTTCAATGTTGTAATAACACGTGGATAATAAAAAAAGATGGAGAGAGAGCCTAACTCGGTTCATCGATCTGCGAAAATGCTGATCAATTCCCAGTTGGAGAATGGCGATTTCCCGCAAGAGGTGATAATTAATAAATAATTCTATTTTTCTTTCTTATATAATAATAATTTTAAAAATTGAAAATGATTTTGGTTCGTCGCAGGGAATAGTGGGAGTTTTCAACACGACGGCGATGTTGCATTATCCCAACTTTAGGAACTCTTTTGCGTTATGGGCACTCGCTGAATACGCAAAGCGTCTTTAATTAATGTAATATAAAAGAGTTTGGATAATCTGTTCATCTTATTAGTATTAGAATCGAAATTTAAAATGATCAGCCGCGCAATGAGTATTACAAAATATGTAGAATTTATAAAAAAAATTTGTTTGAAAGAATTTACATTTTTGTGAACTTTACATATTATTATATTTCGTGTTTGGTTTGAGGTTCTTTAGTACTAGAAATTCTATTAACAAAATTATATATTTAAACTCATTTTATAATCTTAGGTTATTTAATTAATTTACGTTAATCAAATCGAAATATTACGAATATCTGTGAACTTTGATCTTATCTACGCTGACAGGAAAAATTAAATATTGACTATAATGATACTCAATTTTAGGCTATTTAATTAATGTCCCCTTAATCAAATCTCCTTGCGGGAACTTATGGAAATAATTTTCATTTTTTTTTGTTAGAATGTTACAAATAGTATTGACAGAAAAAATTGTCACTACATTTATTTTGTTCACAAAGGGGAATTCGGATTTAAACATCATCATCATCATCATCATCATCATCATCATCATCATCATCATCATTATTATTTAAATCAGTTGTGTTGTGGTGGAGGTGCCAACATGTTGTCGTCACGTATTATATTATTTATATGTCACGTTTTGTGAGCAGTTGGTGAGATGTCCATTAGGTAACGTGATTCTCTTGTCAGGTGGATATATTTTTCTTATCTATTTATCAATCACTATTATCGTCTTAAATAAATAGCACAATTAAAAAAATTATTGTTTTGTAAACGAGTATAATTAAATTTCTATATACAAAGACCCCAAAACGAATCCGACTTGATAATACACACATAATCATATTTTTAAATTGAATTCAATTTAAAAATATATTAAAACTAAATTAAATTAATAATTTTATAAATTTAATATTTTTTTCAACATAAATAAGAACCGAATTAATATATATATATATAACAAGTTAAAAGGTAAAAACAATTCAATCTCACTCTCACTCCCTAAAATTTCACAAAGGGTACTAATTTTTTTTTTTTGTACGATTATGTCACTTAATGTATACCTACCACTATATATCATACATCTCATGTATTAAATTGATAAGATTTTCTCAACAGTTTCTGTCATAAACCCAACAAACTTTAAATAAAAAAAACAAAACAAAATAAACCCCTTTGTCTATATTTTCCCTTTAATCTTTGTCGTATTTATCTTCAGAATTTGCCACCGTTTTATTTATAAGAACCATGAAACGTCAGACCCCAAAAAAAAAAGGACGTAAATAAATAATCCAATTGAAAAGGACAAAAAGACTTTATTGCTGTTGGATCGATCTCAGTGAAAATTTGTATGCAAACGGTAGAAAAATAATGTTACAAAAAAAAAACATTAAGGGCAGATAACTAACCATAAACCTAATTTTGTAAGAGGACATTAAATGAGAGTGATTATCAAAGAGCCCCACTTCATAACTTTGAATTGACCCCTAGAGCATAGTGACAATATTTTATATATATATATATATATATATATTGTAAATTAAAAAAATCAACTTTATTTATATTAATAATGTCGTTCGGCTCCACTGTCAGTTGTCTTTTTGTCAGATGTCTCCACTGCTGCTGCCCATTTCTTAATTTTGTGTCTTTTTGCTTTTTTTCGTTTGTTTAGGGGCCTTTTTTCTAGAAAATATTTTGAAATATTCAACGACCTCTTTATAATATGTATTTATTTTGAATAGTTTGATTAGAAAAATCATACTCAAACGGATATCTAGACTTCCTTTTTCTGATTGGATCAAAGAGATTGGAAATTGAAGAAATTTACTTTCATTTTATTTTTTTCGTGTTTGTGTTTTCGAAAAAAATTTGTGAAAATAGTAAAAAAAAACTTGAGAAAGAGATGATATATGGTAGGTATTCTGACACAGCCTGTCGCATGACTCTCGTGACCGATACATAATTTGCCACGTGATTAAAAATGTTTTGGTAGAGCTGACACGGCTTGCAGGAATTGACTTCACAAGTTATGAAAGATTTAGCAGAACTAGTGGGTCCAATAAGCCACGTGATGTTAACCTGCCAGCCAAATATTGGCAATTCAATTCATATCAAATCGTGCCAATTTTATTTTTGTCCTGTATGGATTGTTTTTGTTTTGTTGATAGAGGTGTATGGATCTTAAGGGGCAATATAGCAGAAATACCCTTATTTTGCTACATAGACTTCACGGACTACCCTCCAAAACCCTAAAATTTTGGAAAAAAAAATAAAAGGAACAAAAGACATAATTAACCCTCTCACAAAAGTAACGTGATATTCCTCTCTTCATTTTGAATTCATCTCTCTCGTTTTCATTCTTTGATAACTCTTCATTTCTTTCTTAACTTTCTCTCTCTACTCTTATATTTCTCTCAACTCTTTCATTTTCTCCCTTCTCATTTCATTTGTATACATAGAAAAACAAACGAAAAATGATTATTTCGTTGAGCATATCCTCACCGACGAACTCATATCTTCTTCTTGAGTCGGTCTAAGACAGAACAAATGACAAAAACTGAAGGTAAGTTCATTAATACAAGAGATTGGTTCGATGCATAAACTTTGTGTTTTGGGTTTGAGTTTTATGATTTTTAGAGTGAATCGTGTATTTTTTTTTATGAAAATGAAATAGATGCATAGCAAATCTGTCGAAGAATATGCAAGAGGCGCATATTTAATGTCAAATAAATGTTTGGAGCAATAATGGAACAGATTGACAAATGTACGTTACATTGGTTACACCGTCTAAAATTTAATTTTGGTCACACTAGTCACATTGGTCACAGATGTCACACTGGTCACACTAATCATACTGGTCACACCGTTTAAAATTTGTTTTGGTCACATTGGTCACACTAGTCACACTGGTCACACTGATCACACTGGTCACACTAGTCACACTGGTCATACCGTTTAAAATTTGTTTTGGTCACACTGGTCACACTAGTCACATTGGTCACACTGGTCACACTGGTCACACTGGTCACATTAGTCACACTGGTCACACCGTTCAAAATTTAGTTTTGGTCACACTAGTCATATTAGTCATATTGGTCACACTAGTTACACTAGTCACATTGGTCACACCGTTCAAAATTTAATTTTGGTCATACTGGTCACACCGTTCAAAATTTAGTTTTGGTCACACCATTCAAAATTTAGTTTTGGTCACACTGGTCACACTGGTCACTTGGGCACACTGGTCACACTGGTCACACCGAAAAATTTTAAAATTCACGCGAAAAATTTAACTTTTTGTGGTGGAGGGAGTTTTAAAAATTTTAAAATATTTAAATTTTTTCCTAGGGAACCGAAAACTGTTCTCTCTCTTCTGTTTCTGTCATTGGGACCCACGCCAATGGGTATTATGGGAATAACATAATTATAAGGGTATGTTTTGAACTAACTTTTTTATTTATTTTTGCAGGGGTATGCTTTGAAGTCTTTGTAGCATAATAGAGGTATTTTTTATAAAAGCCCATCTTAAGGGCTCAACAAAATTATTCAAAAATGGGTATCCGCGTAGCATATATCGGATTTTTAGAATACTCTGTTCAAATCCCAATCTAAATCCGAATCCATAAATATTCGCAGATTCAAATCCGCGTAATAGAATTTTACAAAAGAGATATTCATTTTTTTATAAATAATTATATCTTATATCTCTATAATATTTTTATAAAATATAATTATTTTGGATTAAATGATTTCTCATTTTTCAATATTATTTTTTTAAAATAATTTATTATTATTTATCTTTCACCATCTTTATTCATATCGATTCATCCATCTTTATAATTATATTTTCACTTTTTTAAAAATATTTCTACATAAATATTGTTATTTTTTATTAAATAAAGTTTATCTTTATTCTTATCATATTAAATAATTATGTCCACGAGTATCCGTTCATTATTCCAGATATTCGTATTCTAGATATTCGTAACTCTCGAACCTGAATGCAAATTCCAAAATGAAATACCCGAGTCTTTCGCATACAATAAATACCTCGATTTTTCCAATAATCTGACTCCTACCCACCCCATGTTATACAATTAGTTTTTTTTTTTGTTTAGCACGAAACGTTGAAATTCATTTTTATATATATATATTTTATATTTATTATAGAGGTATTGAAAATTGAAATATATATTTGTGATAGAAAAAATAGTCAACATCATCATTAGATTATAGTGTCGGAGATGGAGGAGCAGACAAGAAAATGAAAGAAAAAAATAGCTGTTTGAAAAAATCTATGAGAGAGACGAGAGAGGCTGTTAATGGTGGTGGTGACGATGCCTTGTAAGATTTATGCAAAGATTATAAAAAAAAAATAGAGAGAATGGAAGAAAGAAAAACGATTTGTTATAAATGGAAAAGATCAGAGATAATAAAATGTATAAATTACATTTCGGAATAGTTTTGATATTTACAAAATATAATTTTTAATTTTCTTTTGCAGTTTGTAAATGAGCTTGTTTTACATAATTATCAGAGAGTTTAAAATTTGACAAACTGTTTAAATATCTATAAACTTTGTCGAATTGGTCAAATAAACGTATCTAGCATGCTATAAAATTCACCCATTCAAGTATTTAAACTTGTAATGGAATATAGTTTGGGTACTAAAATATTAATTTGTTTCTCAATACATATTAAAGAAACATTAAAATATAGATATAATCATGGACTTATTTAAAATATATATGTATTTGTTTAATGTGAGAGATATCCATATAAATAACCATTTTATACTTTAGTAACCAAATGAATTCCGAACTACCATAAGTATTCAAATCTATTAAATATCTAAATAAACCAATATTATATCAGCTTGCATTAAGTTTATAGACCATATTATATAAAATTATTTCTATATACATCTCTACCAATTTCACCCTTTGTTTTGATAGTTAATACAGATTTAATATCCATTTAAAAATTCAATATGCAAATTAATTAACTACTTGGATTTTTCCACACGTTTATAACCAGTTAGAAATATTTTTAATAGCTGAGAGTTTAGGATATAACCATGGTTTAATTAAATTTTTCTTATTACAAAAGCATAACATAAGTCCGGATTAGGCGAAGATTTATCATTTTTACACCCATGGCACAAAAACTGACCAATTTTAAAAATTAGGGTTAGGTTTTGTTTGTGAGAGAGAGAGAGAGAGAGAGAGAGAGAGAGAGAGAGAGATTCATCAGAACAAATAAGCACATACAATGGACGAATTCTTAATCATATTGAGTAGATGGTAAAGGATGAAAGTGAAGAACAGGAGTCATAAGGAGAGGATGACGCATCTCCATGAAGCCATTGTTGGTCGGTTCCATGTTAACCTTGCCGCCATGGATCTTCCAGTCGAAGCATTGAACCATTCTCCCAATCGCCGTCTCCATCACAATATTAGCCAAGTTCGCTCCTGGACACCTTCTTCTTCCACTCCCAAACGGAATGTGCTTCAGTGCATGTTCCTTGTAATCACACTCTCTCGTATTCCTCGTACTTTCCAAGAATCTCTCTGGTCGAAACTCATCTGGGTCTTCCCACGAGCTGGGATCCCTCATTATTCCGTAAAGATTGAGAACCACTGTCGTGTTCTTCGGGATGTAATACCCTCCGATCTCACACCCTTCTTGGCATTTTCTCGGCAAGAAAAACGTGGGTGGATACAGCCTTAGCCCTTCCTTCACGACCGCTTGCAGGTACGGGAGGTTTTGGAGATCTGTCTCTTCAAGAACCCTTGTTTTCCCGACAATGAACTCGATCTCTTTCCTCAGCTTTCTGAAGACATCTGGATGGTTCATAAGCTCTGCCATTGTCCAGGAAACTGAAGCTGGTGGGCTATCATTGGTTCCAAAGAGAAGATCCTGCATCAGTACGAATCCACTTCACACCAATTGGATAGATATTCTACCATGTTTACGTATGTATAGATAGTATAAAACAATTACCACAAAGATTGATTTAATCTGATTCCTCGTGATCTTGTATGGAGCCTTCTCGTTCTGACAAGCTTCCAACAGCATATCCATCATGTCCTTATGCTCTCTGTCTGGATTCTCTTCATGTTCCTTGAGGCTCTTCTCGAGCAACTCATCGTACGTTCTAGAAGCTTCCCTTACCTCTCTCTCCAGGAGTGAAGCCCCAAACCTCGAAATCGAACGTAGCCCTTTTGCTGTGAATATCTTTCCACACAAGTGGATGGATTTCTTGGCCAAACCCCCGAGTTTCTCCTCTGTACCATTCTCCTCCGAACATTTCTGTCCCATGATCATGTTGCATACGATCTTGTTCGAGAGCTTTCTAATCTCCACGGCAATATCGACAAGCTCTCCCCTCGTTGCCTTTTCCAGCAAGTAAATGTAAAACCTATCGAATTCTTCGGCCCGAAGACGACGAGATCTCGCCAAATGGTTCGGTCCTAGCAAATCCGTGGCGAGGAGCTTCTTCACGAACTTCCAGTAATCGCCGTAGGGGGAGGCCATGAAACTGTAAGGCCCTAGAAACAAGGAGTCGTCCAAAGTGGCGACCGAATGGTTGGAGAAGTTGACGTCTTCGGTCCTGAAAACTTGGTAGGCGACCGAGGCGGAGGAGACGAGGACGACGGGGAAGCCGAGGAAGCGGAGATAGAGGAGAGGGCCGTATTTGGAGGAGAGATTCTTAAGGCGAGCGGGCAGATGGGTGGAGACGAGGAGGTGGAGATGACCCACGAGTGGGAGGGATGGTGGGCTTGGAGGAAGATGAACGCACTGATCGTTAGGAGGTGATTTCTTGAAGAAAATCAGATGGAGAAACAGAAGTGAGATTGGGCATACGAGTAAGATAGAGATGAACTGAATGTCAAAGATTGATTCCATTGTTTGCTTAATCTATTCCCTTGAGATGAGGAGATACATACATATGTGTGTATATATATATATATATCCGATTTTTCGGGCATTCGGACCGATCCGTGAATGGGGGTATCTAAAAATCGGATATTGATCCACCGACATGATGAGATTGGATCCAACGACGGTGAAAACCGGAATTCTAATACACACAACAAACTGGAATAATTAAACTAATCATGTATTGGCCCAATTGCATCATACATACATATATATATATATACATACACATATTCCTTGTAAGTGCCTTTCTGCCACCTCAATCACATACGACATGGTGAAGTTCCAATCCGGGATCATCACTTATGATGATGATGATGATGATGATGATGATGATAGCTGCATCAGTGGCCAGTCGTGATCAGAGCTGGCTACATAGTAAAAAAAATGAAAACTCATTAACCTCTGCTTTGCCATAGGGAGCTTATGGTGATAAATGCAGGTTTTTCCCCCCCATTCCCTGTGGATATCAATGCCTAAACCTTAGTCTAAGGTGCTAAAAGTACTGCTAACTATATATACGACCCCAAATTCTAGTTACCACATCTGAAAAATGCAGGAACCATTCAAGAATGATATGATAAGGATTGAGTTATGTTCTCCATTGCCTCTGGCGCCAAGAGCAAAAGGGGAGCACATCCTATAAAAACCAGACTTGGAATTCAATCCCAAACGTACAAGAATACCCAGAAACCATTTACACAGAAAGAATGGATGTTGAATTCTGTCAGAGGAAAAACGAACCTTAGCCTTAGCCAGCCAGCCAGCACTGCTTCCGGGACGGAACAGAAGAAAGGAGGACCTTGCTTGATAGCCCCGGCTAGAGGACTGCGAAATCTTAAAAGCTTTGGACAAGAAGGCATACTTGCCCTTGAAAATTTACTAGAGAAAAAGTAATTCTAGGATTTCTATATCTCCTGATTCACAGTGAAAACCACATATGACGACTATACATCATGAGGTAGAAGTAGAACTCTGCAAAAAATAACTAAAGAAATTGTACAAAACAAGATCGATCCAATGAGAACAAAATACCCTTTGGGATAGCAGAAAACCCAGCTTGATTTCCTCTGTTTCGGAAGTAAACATGTTACAAGAAGTCGTTCGTTCTTTTCCTACTCTTGATTTTGTACTAAGTTACAAATAGAAAGCCTAAAACCTCACAATCTCCAGCCCTAGAAAATAAAAATGCCGCAATGGTAAAGGATGTGCTGCCTGTTTCTGACTAACTTTTCTTATCATCGGAAGAATTATTTTCAAGCCTAGCATCAAACCCATGAAATGGAACCTCACACATAGATCTTGGAATTGCACGCCCACCGAAATCCTCGGGGAAAAATTCAAAATCAGGTCCGAAATTGAACTTCACAACACAATTTGGCTGATTAGGGAGAGTGTACATAGAAGCAGCAGGGTAGTAACGACCACCGTATAGATCTCTGAAGGCAACCCCCTGACATATACCATTTTTGAAGAAGGATATCTCACTCCCTGCATCAGAATGGCAGTCATTCAGCAATGCCAGTTGCAATTCATACAGAACTTGATGAAATTATTTACATCACGTTCATAGCCTAGATAATGCAGCACAGGCAATTAACTCGAACTTGCAGCTTTTTAGCCGTCAATTAAAACATCTCTTCAGTGTATTAACCAAAAGGATAACAGTTGTAATAAGTTCCTTTCTTTTCTGTTATCTGTTCAAATCCTACAAGATACCCTTTATCACGGAACTAGCTGCAACTCATCTGTTATAACAGATCAACTGACTGAGACTCAGAACACGGACGAGGAGCATAAGGAAAATTAAGCTTCGCCACGCCATTAACGATATTTTACTACCTATAAGAAGTTAACCATACGAAAATTCCCTCCTAGACAAAAGGCTACATTCAGATTGCATCAGAATATAATACCCTGAACAACTCAACAAAGAATCGTCCATATCGATCTAAAACATTCGCAACTAACTAAATATCACAGCAAGAACCACGTGCAATACAGGAGAAGATGCTCATACCTGGTATAACTTTAGGAGGCTCCTCCTTCGCATCGGGAGCACAAACGTATCTCTGCCCCTTATACCATACATAATGAGGAGGCTTTGGCGCAAATGAAGCACCATCAGGCAAATTTATGTAGAAACCGATAACGTCGCCTTCCTTATACCCTTCCTCGGCATACTCCTCCCTTAAAGCCTTGTGAATCTTACTACCATCAATATCCCTAAATCCGAAACTGTTGCCATCGTAACCTACTGGAGCCTGCAAATCTCCTTTCTCGGTCGACCACCCGAGTCGGGTATGACCCGTCTCACCCAAATTCACGACTTTAATCTCAAAGTACCATGCCCCTTCTACTACCCCTCTCGTTGCTCTCACCATTCTATACCCTTTGGTACTTCCTGCACTAAGCCTATCTTCGCTAAGTTCCACTTTCTCAGCTTTGTACACTTTTGACAGGCATATTTTCATGTCGGGCGTGTCGTCTCCCTTGTCGGGAAACCTAGGGACCGGAGTTATCAGTACCTTGTCCTCCACGGCCGCAGGGTTCGGCGTGTTGGCTTTGCTCTTCTTCTTCCCCTTGCGTGTGCTCTTCGTCACCCAGACGTTGTTGTTCTTCTTCTTCGACTTCGACTTCTTCGCTGTACTCGCGACCGGGGTTTCCGACTCCGCCGCTGCCGCCGTGAGACCCGGCGGCGGAGGTTGCTCTTCCTCTGGATCCTCTTTCACAGGCAATAACGTAAGAGAAGACAGTTGCTTCTGCTTCTTCGGCAGTGGTTCGTCTTCCTCGTCTCCGTCCTCTTCTCCCAGTAAGGCGCCGTTTTGGGCAGCGGCGGATTCCGGCTTGGGGGACTTGAGGTTGTCAGAGGAAGCAGTCGGACCATCCTCAGAGAGAGAATCGGATTCGAGCTTCGCGTCGGATCCGGGCCGACCCGAATCCCCAGCTTCTTCAACTTTCTCCAAATTGGCGATGTTTTCATCCTCGACGACAACATTCGAATTCGACTGCCGCGGCGGCGTCAGATCTTGTCGTCCGGGTCCGAGAGGAGGAGGAATTCGGGTCGGGTCATGGGTTGGCGAATGCGAGTCTTCCTCTGGTTCGCCTCTGTAATTGGCTTCAAGAGAATCCATGGAAAAACCAAATTCTTTCCCGACGCAGTGAAACAGAGGGTGGAGTAAAAAAGGGAGGCGAAAAGGAAATTTTATAGGGCTGAAAGTTTGGGCCTTTTGGGCTTTATAGGCCCAATACAGTTCTAGGGTTGCTGGCCGGTGTCCATTTCTTAATCAACTCCCCGGTCCCGGGTAGACATCATGGGGCTTATGTTTAATTCTGACTAACTTTTATAGGATTTAATTTTTTTTTGATAATCTATTATTCAAAATTTTATATCTATTCAAATATTATTTTACATTTTAATTCCGCTTGTAATTTGTTTGAATTCCATTCGATTTCAGTGTTAATTAAAAATATTTATTTTCTAAAGATAATTTTAATTTTAGTTCAATTTTCGAATATTGTTATACGCATTTCGAGTTTAATTGAGATCCGGTTAATTGTTATAAAATATCATACCTAAACGATTTTAAAATCCAATTGAGTTTGGATAAGATTATATTTATTTAATTGAATCCCTCTTTTACATCACAAACCAAAATATCCAGGGCTATTTAAAATTAAAATGATTGATTAATATATGTATTGTGATTCATATATAAAATGCATTAATTGTGGTATAAAAAGTTAAAAGCGGAAAAAATCACATTGCAGACGAGACACTCTGCAATTGCTAATTAGCTTTTTTGTGTTTGAGATTTTATAAGTTGCATATATTCTCACTCCCTGCATCA